CAGCACGTCTACCCACTAGGCAGCAATCTCGCCCCCCCCTTTTTTCTTAGTGGGGAGGAAGCCCAGCCCGCGATTGCCACCCAGGGCAAGCCGTACTTTTCTCCAACCCCCTACTTTCCCCCCTAAATATGGGCGCAAACTCGGGAGGGGGGGTGCGGTGTCCCTCTGAAAGAAAGTGAAAGTTTGTGCTTCTGGAAAAGGGAAAGTTAGCAGGGCCCGGAGGCGCTGCCATTTATTTTCTTAACACTCACTGGTAGATTCACCCTTATATTTTGCTGTCCTCTAGATCTTGCCCAAGACAGTGGTTTCCAACCATCGTGCTCTTGGACTGCAGTTCTCAGAAGCTTTCACCGCCAGCTGTGCTGGCCAGCGTTTTTGGGAGTTGCCATCCAAGAACATCTGGGATACCCAAGGCTGGGAACCATTATCTTTTGAACTCAGTGGGTGTAACTTCTGAATAGATATCTACAGCATGTTAGATTAGCTCTCCTTATAATATTCATTCATCACATTTATAACCCAGTTTTCCATGAAAAGATAGGGCTCAACTGGCTGACAAACTGCTGAAAAGAATAGAAACCACTTTTAGCTAAAAAAAAAAAAAAAAAAAAACACCATAAGGCCAGCCTCACTGTAGGTAAATCCTGTTAGCTATGTTGCTGGAACCAGTTGTATTGGCTCTTGCCTTTCCATCGGACCATTCCAGCAATGTGGAGAGGGGAGATTTGCTGCTTGGGTAGCAGCCTATCCTCCATATTACTTTACCCAGGCTTCATGCTCTGGAAAGGACACTTCTTGATACAGAGCACGTTACCATAGTCTCTCGAGACTGAAGGATGCCTATGGACTCTGAGATCGATGCCCATCAGTGTAATAAAGTGGATAGAAATCTTGAGGCCTGGGTTCAAAATTTCTGGCCCATGGAAGCACACTGGGGAGTGGCAGTGATACAACTACCGCTTAAATATTTCACATGCTTTGACAACTCTGCTAGGGTCACAGGAAGTCAGTGTAAATAGGCAACACATTACCAACCCCCCCCCAAAAAAACAAGCAAACAAAAAAACAAACCCAGTAGGGCACAATCAGTGAGGCTAACATTAAAACATACGCCCTCCACTGAATGGGTCTCCTCTAGTTTAGATTAACCATTAGATTTTGTATAATATCTCCAAAGAATTAGAATTCTGATAAAGCTATACGAAACACCTTTTTAATTTTTTTTTTATTTTTTTGAGATTTGCAATTAAGGGACTTTCCTTTTGTGTGTGTGTTGCTGTGTGTGTGTTGCAGACTATTTAAAAAATAGTAAAAAGCTGTCTTCAGGCTGTTGTTTTTAGACTCTAAATCACCAAGAAGCTTTATCAGATACCAGAAAAGAAGCAATAAAAGAATTGCTGGCTGCTGTTTTCCCCTTCAGAGTATTTTGTTCTCTCTTCTTTTTGTACCGCATATCCCTTAAACTACTTCTCCATCATCAAGGGTCTCATACATATTATGAACTCTTTTAATGCTTAGTTACTGCTCTACCTGCAAGGGTCTCCTAGCAAACAACAATTGCTAATATTTACAAGCTTTGGGTGGGTGGAGTCCAAGCTGCAGCTAATAAAATTAATTAGTATATTTCAAGGGCTTCTGCTCTGAGCATGTGCAGAGTTCCTGCTCCTGTGTACTTGCACGTTTGATTGATATTTACTACAGTCATTGACCGGCAGACACTTGCATGTTTGGAGGGGTCTGGTGAACAGATACCAACAGCAGGGGGGAAGAGTGGACAAGGCCCAAAGTCTCATGAGATGTGGGGATCATGGCCCTCCAGCTGTTTACAGACTGCAATTCACATAATTCCAGGGAAGCATTAATGGGAGCTATAGAGAAGAAACATCTCAGAGGACAGCCATTGTTCATCCTTGGACTAAGGAGACCAGATGTGAAAGAGGATAGACCCCCTCCACCTCTAATAACGGCACCATGATAGTTCAGTCAATGAAGCCTAAATTATTTCTGGAGGCAAAAATGTTGAAACGGAGGCTGTCCTGTTTTGGCCACATCATGAGAAGAAAGGATTCTCCGGGAAAAGCAATAATGCTGGGAAAGTTTGAAGGAGGCAGGAAAAGAGGAAGACCAAGTATGAGATGGACTGGCTCCCTAAAGGAGCCACAAGGCTGAGTCTCCAAGAGCTGACCTGTTGAAGACAGGACCTTTCGTAGATTGCTCGTTCTGAGGGTCTCCATGAGTCAGAGGTGGCTTGATGGCCCACAAAAACAACAACATGAAATCAGAGTTTCATGTTGCCTGCAACAAACTTCATTGTCTCCCACCCAACTCATCCCCCAAAAAGTGAGAAGGACAATGCCCTTTCAAAAAAAGGACAAAGTTTAGGGTTTCTTGAAAAGAAAAAAAGAAAACAAAAGAAAATTAGACTGGGAGGTGTTGCTGTTTATTTCTTAATCCTCAACAGTAGCTTCACCACTTAGATTTTACTGCCCTCTAAATTTTGGTGCCCTGAGGCAAAGTCCTAGTTTCCTTATGCTAGTGGCAGCCCTGCATGAAATCCTCTCTTCTAACAATTAAAGACAGAGGACAGGAGCTTTTCTGTCTTTCAGAGCTGCCCCCTTCGTGTGGGCCTTTCGCTGGTTCTGCAGCTGGGCCCGGCCCGGCCCAGCCTGGTCATCAGCCCTAAATTAAATGGACTTTTAATATGCTCCAGTAGGGTGCCTTTTTTGATGAATAATTGACCTTTTTGGCCACAGTGAGGGAAAACGAAATGTTATTTCTACTCAATCCTGTGGTGTTTAGTTTTTTAGTTGTTTAAACACATTTTATTGCACTGAAATATTTACGAAGCCTGCCTTCTTGGCACCCTGACAAATGAATTAGGGTGAGGCGATCCATTTTGGTGAACAACAGTTAATTTTTCTTGGGTATAAACCATTCCCTTTTAATTAATAGTCATTAGACTGAAAGAAGCATTTACTTGGGCTTTAGGGAATTTGCCACTTCTCCCTCAAAGAGTGAACTAGATATAAATATCATGTATTATCATTCTTTGTTTTTCGGTTTTATTTCTTTTCCATTCCTTTCTTTTCAAATTTATGACGGTATGTTTGATATAATAAAACCTGTTCCCAAGAATTTCCTTCTGAGAACAAATCTGATTTATTTTAAAACACATGGGCATTACCTCACAGACTGAATTATTTCTCCATTCGGAGGAAAAAAACACTGGGATATGCAAGTAAGAAAAGTTTTAACTTAAATCAGAAATGGGCAAATCTGACATTTCACAAGGCCTACTTTCAATTTACTAACCAGTCAACATGATGCCTTTCCTATGCTTTGTACTGCAACACCCATCTTTCCATATCATGTAACACAGGGCTGGGCCTGATGGAAAATAATGGAAAATGTACTCCAAAAGCTTACTTGGGATGTCTATTATAGGCTGCTCTTTTCATTTCCTGATAGGAGAACTATAGTAGTTCTCAGTTGGGGTTGAGAAGATGGCCAGTACAGTAGAACGTTTATAACATTAAGCACAGAAGAGTGAAGATGCTGTGGGGGTGGGAGGTAGCTTTGTCTCTCAAACATCTGAATCATTTTATTTCACATTTCCAATCCAA